GTCTGTCTGTCTGTCTGTCCGTCCGTCTATCTATCCATCTATCTATCTCTCTATCTATCCATCAATCTATCTATCTATCTGTCTGTCTGTCTGTCCATCTATCTATCTATCCATCCATCAATATATCGTCTGTCTATCTGTCTGTCCATCCATCTATCTATCTAATGAAAGTGATTCTACCTCTTTTAAAATATCCTTTCGCAGGCTAAGTTTCTTTCTTTCCTTTAACCTCCAGTTTCTTTACGTCAGTTCTTGTTACTATCTCACAAATAAACCTCTCCGCCCGTCTGTCGCGTCTCTTACGGTGACTTCACACTCCTCTTCCTTTCTCTCGTACAGTTAATCAGCTGTTTTCTTCACAGCGAACAACATAACGAGCAGCAACACATTGTGTTGTTGTGGAATTTACTAACTGCGGTTGTTAACAAGCTGATTCTCTGTTGTGTTTCTTCTCCTCCAGGGGTCGTGATGTTCGATACGTCTTCCTCTTACCTGCGACTGAGGCGGCTTCACGTAAGTTGGCTCTTCACTTTGAACCAGAGATGCAACTTGTTCTCTTTAAGTAAAAGAGCAACAGTCAGAAATGAAAGCCCTCATTATGAAGAATGATCTACATCATTAAAGTGCTTTTAATTTCATTGTGATTGTTGACGTATCACTGCGTCGCTTCCAGTGTTGTCGCCGGTGAGAGCCGGGCTGAGGCTGAGTAGTTTGATTGCGGTGCTGTATCCGCCCCTGTGAGTTTCTCCAGATGATTAACATTTGGAGTTGATCAGCCAAAAGTCAATTAACTAAAATAAACATCGAATAAACATTTTTCTAAGATATGTCCAGAAACAAAAAGGGCTCAGAGAGACAATCTAAAGGTTCTTCGTTGAATGAAATGGAAATACAGTACTCCAATTAGTATTTAAGTACAAAACTTGATTACTTAGATGATGGAATGAAAATGTTTTAGTCCCTATAAATGATTGTATTCAGTTATTTCAATATCTACACACTCTCTCGTATTCATTAGTATCATTGTCTGACTCTGTCTTTGCTTCCGGGATCAATAAAGTTCAGGTTAAGTCTGACGCACGTGAAGTTTACACCCCCCACATCAGCGTGTTTAGCCCCGACACTGTCCCTTGTTTCCTTTTTCAAATACCCAATAATCTGTGAGATTGCCACGAGGTGACCCCCCCCCTCCTCACACCTCCAGGACCCCTTGACCACCTCCCCCGCCCCGTGACACGGCGTGCACGGTGGGGATCGTCCGCGGCCCTCCTCTCCTCATTAACCTCGTCTAATTAGATGGCAGGGAAGTCCATTGTTCGCCCTAATGAAGCCTCAATGGAAAGACAGGGCCTCGGCTGGCTCTTCCGACATGGCTGTGAAATTACAATCCCTTACCTCACCCCTCCCCTCCCCTGGCCTGGTTTCTCCCTCTCTCTCTGGCGGGTTTCTCTGAGAGGCGAAGCTGAAGTTGAGGCAGAAAGATGGAGAGACAGATCCGCGAGCGGAGAACAGATAATCTGCGTGATAGCTCCACACATTCCCATACTGCTAATTTAGCTCCAGTGGCAGAGCCCAGGGTAGCATTAGCTCTGCTTAGCGCCCCCAGTATGGATCCCATCCACTAATTACTTGAGCTGCCGTGGTTCGCTGAGATTTAAGTACCACCTCAATCCCATTATCTCCCATCCCTACAGCTAGCCCCTGTCGCCCGGGCCCTTTGTATCGGAGGAACCAGAGGCTGCGAGGTTATTGATACCGTCCTCCCCTGCAGATAAGATCCATGACGGTGTGAGGGAGGGATGCTACCGTACTGTATGCACGGCAGAGGAGGTGAGTGGTCTCGGATCAGCGCTGGAAGGGGAAACAAAGAGCGCTGAAGGGCTGAGGGAGTGTGTGCGTACACCTACAGCATGTGCGAAAATCAAAGTCTGCGACAGGAGCACGAGGTGGTGATTGGGGGGTTCAAATTGGATGGGGTATTTGGAAAGATTATTCGCCCTCCAGTGTTTTTTTTCCTTTTTTGGTTCTTTTTTTTTTTGCGAGGTGGGGGTTTCGCTCTCTGCTCACCCCAGAGCGACTAATTACAATTCACATGTCACACACTCTACACATAATAAGAGTTAGGGAAACAGAATTAGAATATTCCAAAGGCCTGCAGGGGGTGTCATCTCGGGAGAAAGAGGGGAAAGTGTGTCTCTTTTTTTTTTTGCTAAACGGGGGAGAAAAATGGGGTGAGGAGGAGGAGGAAGAGAGGAGACTGTGCATGTGTTTGTGAGTCTGTGCATGTGGCATGTGCGTAGCGGTGGTGTTTGTTAGGGAGAGGTGGGCGCCTCGCGGGCTTGAGGGGGAGGCGATGAAGGGAGTGCGAAAAATCGACAACGCTCCCACACTGTGCATTCCTTCCTCCCTTCCTCCCTTCCTCCCCCTCACCGTCCCGTCGATATGCCCGCCACCCCTCTCTCTTCACACGTTGGGTGTCGCCTGCTTGGCATGCCAGCACGGCTGCCTGTCAGGGAGGCGAAGAGTTGCTGGTGGTGGTGGTGGTGCATCTTTTCGTGGGAGGTGGAGGGCAATTGAGTGACATCTGCTCTGCTGAGACGAGGGGCAGGCGGGCTCCTGGCATTGGCGGCCGCCGTGTCGGAGGCGTTGGCACGAGGCTGGCTGGGTACAGCAGGGGTGGCGGCGCCGGCAGCAGGCGGTGGATGGCCTTAACGGAGAACCGTTTGCTCAAGCAGCATGACATCTCCTGGAATGAAAGCACCCACACACTCACACAATACACACTCTTGGCAACACACACCCGTCCTCGCTTCCATGCACACAAACTGGCACTCCGTCCTCCTTCTCCTGCTCTGTCACTTCCCTCGACTTGACTATTTCCCACCTCACACTTCAGGTTTCCTCAAAGCCGCCATGTCCTGCACAGAATCGCTGTTCAAAGGCGTTTTTCATCTGCAGTCTGCGACCGTGGACGGTGTCAGCGCGACATCGGGGTTCATTTACGTTGCCAATTACTTTCCCCCGCCGCCGAGTCCCTTCCATCTCTACCTGTCTGTTTTGTCTTTCATCCGCTCGCTCTTCAGGTTTCCCCTAAACCAAACACCGTTAATGAACCATGAAGATGACATCTGCACGAAAGCAACAACTACATTAATGTGAGCGGCAGCAACATCCCAGATCTCTGTATCGTCACCTGCCACCCGGCAAAGAGAATACATAAGTAACGGGGACATGGGAAGAGGAAACACATTTAAGGAAGGAGGTGTAGCGACTTATGGCGGGATGAGGATAAACGTGTTGCTAACTAGTAACCGCTAACTTAGCTATTCCTTCGAAGTATAGTGTTGATAAAAGTTATTACCATCAGATAGTCGTCTCCGGCGGAGGACAAAGGATTCAGGTAACCCGGAGGTGACGGTAAAGAAAAAAACAAGATGAGTGACGTTTATTAGATTGTATCTAAACGAATCTACCACTCTCCTCTGTCTTTCCCTCAGAAGTTGTTTCCCTCCTCTTTCATATCACCGCTGTTGTCGAGGCACTGTGACGCTGAAGCGGTGTAAATTGATTTCCCGGAAGATGTGATGGATGAATAGAGAATGAACATCTTCATCGCTGACCCCGGCGCCGATTGCTTCTCCCCCTGCCCGCTCCGATGATTGACAAGGCTGCTAACGAGTGCCGTCGCCGGGCGTGTTATAATTTCGCTGTGTTGAAAACAGCCGAGACTCGGTCCCAAGGTAATGAGCTTCTGGGAGAGAGGGAGGAGAGAGGAGAGGAGAGGCTCACCCCGGGAGAGGTGAAATAAAAGAGGGAGTAAATAAAAAAAAAAAAAAAGGAGACAAAGCACACGAAAGTAGATTAGAAAGAAGTTGAGGATATCATCGACTTCAGAGGAGCCGTTTCATTGTTTATCTGCTGTCTTGATGGATGTCTTTCAAGCCGACGGTTCCTCAGCTGCTGTGTGTTCATCTCTCAATCGCTGAGAGGCAGCGAATTTCAAAAGGCTCCATAAAAATGTGATATTTGCATTAAAAAAGTATTTGATGTAAAAGTGCTGCGTGCTGCAGATTGCATATCTGAGCGTGCACGTGTGTAGACACTCAGGCGCCTGCGTGTGTTTTTACAGCGTGCACATGCATGTGGGCACGTTGTAATTTATTCCTCCATGCGGGGCTGAGGGCAGGTCTCTGTTTATTTGGATGATTAGGAGGTGACAATATGTTGCTGATGATCAGCTTTATAATCAGCTACCATCACAGATTATTCTAACCTTGATTAAAGACCTGCAGTCTCCCTATCATCTCCCAGCTCAGCCTAACAAGATAGGACGACGCTCTGATTAATGCCAGAGAGCGACGAGTCATGACACAAAGGACAGGCCTGCATCACCGCGGGAGGACGCGGGGAAACTGTCACGCATCATACTTTGTTGTCTTTCTGATTTGTCTGCCTGATGCAGGACCTTTGTCTTAATTATTTCTCTTTTACAAATTAATCCGTGTGAGACTGATTCGGTTTTCATTACCGCCATAATAAGGACGGCGTTGTTGACGTCTGCCGTGATTAGATATCCAAAAGAAAACGTCGCGCCGCGGTGTCGCTGCTGTGCATCCGTCTGCTGAGGCAGTTTGCCCTCGGAACAAGTCGTAAACTCGTCAGCAAACTTTCTTTTGTCTTCGCCGACAATCGTGAATGTGACACTCACGTGTGTTTGTGTGCGATGGTGCGTGGGGGTTTGTGTTCTTTCCCGACAGAGCGTTTGATTCATTGCGTGGCGAGGTGTCGGTGAGGTCCCGGAGGTTTGTGGAAGAGGACAGAGTGAATGAATGAGTCTCTCTCTCTCTCTCTCTCTCGCAGGATGATGAAGGCAGGGATCCAGGGTCTCTGGCAATCAAGAGGCTGGAGGCAGACGCAGCCACCCCTGGCCTTTGATTCAGTTTATCACAGAGCAGTGCGGCCCGGCCTCACTGTTCCTCCCTTGGCCTCCTCCGCCAGAGTGAGATCATC